TAAATATAAGATAGATGTCTGCAATATCGCAGAGATGTCTGTTTTAGCAGTAATTTGATATAACATGGGTTTTAAACATGTGTTGGTTGAAGCATAAATTTAACATGATTTTAAACTACTTATAAACAATTATACACAGCAATTTCAAGATAATGAAAAAATGTAAAAAATCTAGTCCATTCGTATATAAGTATATCTTTCGATGAACTGCTCATAGTTTTAAGACTTTACACACTACGGTGTTAGTGCGGCCAACAAAAGCAAACAAAGGCACATAATAATAATAAACAAAAATCTGAAAAGCCACAATCAGAAAGACGACAACAAATAATTGTGTCAGCTGCAAGGCAATTTTATGGTACAACAAAAAATCCTGTCAAGGCCAAAAGAGGATTAACTTACAGTGCGTCATGTAAATATTGCACAACAACAACAACAACAATGCAAACAAACACTTCAAGATGCCTCTGCCGGCAGTCTGTTCGCCTGGCCATCTGACTTTTCGAAATTTCAGTGTCACGCACCGTTTAAGCCACAGCCAGAGAAAAAACACGTTGGCCGAAAAAAGGCAACAGCAACAGCAACAAGTGGCTGAACGAGCGCGTAACAACAACAACAACAACACAATCGAACCTTCTGACCTTGAGCCGTGGCATTAAATTGCAACAGTGTGTGTTTTTTTTTCTTTCTCGAAGCTGACTGCCAAAACAGACGCTGCGCCTTTGTTGTTGCTGCTGCTGTTGTTACAGCGGCTGCTGTTGCTGTACTCATTGTTGTTGCTGATATTTTAGCTATTGGCAATTTCGCTGTACAACGCCGCCAGCGCCGGGAATACAACAACAACAACAAAAATAAACGAGCAAAACGCAAAATGTTGCAAGAATTGTAAAATGCAAACAACAATGAAAACAAAAAAAGAAACATTCAAGCTAATTACAGCCACTAAGAAAAGACTAAAGGGTGCTTTTTTAGGGAGTAAGTGTTTGTATTAACAACAACTAGTTTACTGACTGACTGATAGATTCTAAATACTTCAGCTTGAGACCAATATTGTTGATAATGGTGGCTTTTCAGAAACTCGATTCGTAATAGTGTATGGAAAAATATTTGATTTAATGATTTCTCTAATTTCGCTTTCTTGCAAATTGCTGGATTGGGACTCAACAAGTCTTTCGGCAATAAAATTTTGCTTTCTACTTTTGATTTAAATTTGATTTAAATCGCTCAGTTCTAAGAAAAGTTGTTAGCGAAACAATTTCACTCCGCTACAATGCCCACAAACTGAAGCTTAGCTCGCTCTTCTTCTTCTTGTTGCTTCTGCTAGAGGTCCTGTACCCAAGACAGGGTATCTCACTGTCGGGCTGGCTCGACTGTAGCGTTCCCTCTTGTTAGAAGGTGTTCAAGTAATGGAGTTGATCTCCTTCTCTTCATTTTATTCCAATTTCATTTGCAACAAGTTAGTATTTCAGATCCTATTTAAAATAAATAAATAGGCGCTGAAAATTGTCAATATTATATAGAATCTGAGTTTAAATAAATATATTTAAAACGGCTTATATCTGTTTCGAAATTTTCAGCTTGTAATTATATTTGTTATCTAATTTCGTCATTTTATTGCCATGTTCTACAAAGTGAAAGAGTACATAATCGAATGAGTAATAAAACCAATGGAAACAATAGAGAAAGGTAAATGAAATTTTGTATCAAAATAATTAAATCAATAACTTAACGAAATGGTGCTAAAAGATGTTTCTAAATTCCAATTCATAGTATTATTACACAATATTCCAAAGATGTTTTTTTTTTTTTAATATTTTGTGTTGAAATATCAAGTAAGTTCATTTAATGGGCGTAGTTCTAAGAAAAGGTCACCCATTATTGCAACTACAGCCAGCATGAAATTAGCTTTTTACAAATTGGTCACAGCCTCCGAAAATGAAATTCCAGTAAAGGCCTTGCAACACCCCTTCCTGCACCACCTCAGCTGCATGTGGCACGTGTTCATGACATTCTTCCACGTTTGTTGTTGTTTCTGTTGTGGTCGCTGCTGCAATTTCGTTGCAATTCTGTTGCACTTTTTTGTATTTTGCTTTTGTGTTACCTTGACATAAACACTGGACGTAGCTTACATTAATGTTTATGTGCTTTTGGCTGCTTGATTTTGTAAGCTTATGGCTGTCAGGCGACGTCAAAATGTTGGTCGAAATTGTTATTGAATTTATGATTAATGGCGATAGCCTGTCCAAATGTACATATATTGACTCTACACTGCCAAAGGTGCCAGCCTGCCGGGCTTCAAGGATTTATTTGTATCTGATCAGCAAGGCAAGACACTACCAGTATACCCATATTTTTGTAATAGTTGTCATGAAATACGGAACAAGATATGTAAGCCAATAACAAGAAAATTAAAACAAAAACAAAATAGAAAACTGTGTAATGACAACACTTGTGGGATTAAATAACTCAAACAAAGACAACGACGCGCGGCACAGACAAAATAGAGATAACAACAAATACAAAATGACGTGCAATCAAAACAAATGGCAGCTATAAACGTACGAAATCAGCAAACACACACACACATATATGTAGATATTCATACATAAATATATTAAGATATACGGCCGACGCGCGCAAAAAAAGGTAACGAGGCGCGGCAACAACCGAAAGTCAAACAAAGAAAGGCGCACAAACACAAAAATGTGCGCTCGCATTTGAAAATGAAAATGTTCGCTCATAACTGACAACGAATAGTGGGAGCCAACACATACACACATATAGAGGCGGCAACGGGAACGGTAACGCCACTTGCTAGCAATTTCAACACCCGTTGACGCCAAGGGGGCAGTGGCTGTGGCTGTGGCTGTGGCAGGTGGCGGATGAGGCTCAGCCGTATGTGCGAATGCAATTACCTTGGCAGCAGCGGCTAAACGTAACACGAAACCGAGTCAGTAAGACAGTTTAAGACGCGCGCACACTTCCAACAAATAGCAACAGCGAGAAAAATTGTTGAGAAAACGAAAGACTTAGGCAAAAAACTTGCTGGGCACGCGCCCCAACAAATGCAACCACACGTAGACTCGTCGTCGTCGCCATCGACAGCGTCACGTCTGCAAACAAAAACAAATAAGCGAACTGATAATCGGCTGTGGGCAGCAAGTTGGGGTTCGGGCGCAGCAGCGATCTTTGTTGTGCCTGATGGGGGCGTCAAACCTGAACATGTTCGATGGTCGGCGTGCGCAGCAGATTAGCCATTGGGTAAGGTCAGCAACGAGCTACTTCTGCTTATCACCTGTAAGATGAAAGAATGTTGGATAATTAATTTGGAGATTGAAAAATGGAAAAATAATTACATAAAGATTCCGGTTTTATAGAATGACATTCGATAATATAAGCTTACCGTTTGGCATTTTACAATTAATGTATAAATAAGGCAATTGTATCTAGTGGACAAGTTCGATGTGGGTGACACTTCAAGTTGGTTGGTTGTACAGGCCACTCAGCGTTGGACTGAATTCACTCCATTATTAAGGTCTCCTGTACTTTGTCACTCTAGGTCTATTAACCCATTATGATGCCGGAATATGAGTTAACATAAATAAAACCCAGCTGGTAGGTTTTACAAGCTGGATTTGGCTTCATAGAATGCTTGGCCCGGTTTCTGGTGCAGTTCTTCGCTGGAGCTTCTATCTCTAACCGAACCAAGCTCTTTTCATAGTGACCTTATATAGTCCTATATATCCCACAAGCGAACTAGGGCCGTATGTATTTAGAGTAAGAGAGAACCATGTCTTATTGGTATCGGATTTTAATGGAGCTTATGGCAATCAGTTGCGATGAAAAGATTACGAAAGGAAAGGAATCAGCTATTTAGCCCAGCTTCAATATACGTTATAGCTTATTATGTACTGATATATTTCAATAAGAATATCAGTAGAAATAAAGGCACAAAAAAATTAAATAAATCAGGAAAAACAAGTAGAGAAGCTAAGGTCGGGTGACCCGACTTTGAAATACTCTGTACATATGTGTAGAATAATTATGCGTGTATGTGTATGTTTGTGTGTGTCTGAGTATGAACACATTTTCTGCGTATTCACATAAGGCATCTTGGACTTAAAATTTGATGTTCTTAGGTCTTATAGTCTCCGAGATATAAGCGATTATACGAACGGCGTTACGGAAAAACCCCATTATCGGGGAAGTGAGTGGGAAAATCAAAAAAATAAAACAAACTAGCATAAGGCATCTTTGTGCAAAGTTTGGTGCCTCTAGCTCGTAAAGTCTCTGAGATCCAGGTGTTCATACGGACGGACAGACAGACAGGGCTAGATCGACTCGTCTTGTCATGCTACACAAGAATATATATACTTTGTGGGGTCTGCCACGCCAGGCAGAACCTGTTACATTTTTCAGCTCGCGTACATAGTATAATAACCCTATCAACATAATTTGCAGTTCTTATATCAATTCGAGATAATATCATAGCATCCACCAAAGCAACCGCATCCACATGGGAAGCACGAACATGATCCACAAAGACGAACATGTTCGTTTCAAGCTCGGATCAGTTGACTTCATAGACAAAGCACGAACTTCAGACAGTTGAGTATCGAACCTCAAACGAGACGGTTGCAAGCTCCAACGAAAAATAAAATAAATATAAAATTAGAGTCCTCGCCCGGCCTACCACGCGCAGTTGTAAAAAAACGTTTCTTAAACCTAAAGCAAAAGAACAAATGCTGCCAAAAGATTGCCAAACGGATAATTAAATCGTCTTAAAGAATGCAAATTCAATAAATTGCAAAAAAAGAGAAGCAAAACGCAAAGTAAATTTGAAGAAAAAAGTTACGAAAAAAGTGCAGAAAAAGCAACGGGGCAGACAAAACGTAACCGTTACGCTTAACTGCAAGCAACTGTTGCATTGCCACACTTGTTGCCAACTCTCAGTGTGTGTGTGTCTTTAGTTTGTGTGTGTGCGTTTGTGTGTGTGTGAAATGCTGCACAGCTGTCGTCGCTGGTGCCTTGGCCTTTGGCCAACTTCGCTGCTGCTGCTGCAGTTTTTTGGCAATGCCGACGCCTTTACGATACTCTCGCCCTTCAGCTACACCTCGCTGAGCTTTAAGAATCTGCTGAATAGCGTGCTGCTCTCCAGCAATGCCAACCTGGCGGGCGGCGGTCGCAACCTGAAGTCCGATGTGCTAGAGGATGCATCGCTGATAACGGTAAGTGGACAAGAACTGGCGCGTAACGGCCGCAAAGTAACCCAACCCAGCCTAGCTCAACCCAGCCCAGCCCAGCCACTTGCCCAATACACAGTCTAACGGAGAGACAGATGGACAGACAGTCAGGCAGTCATTTAACTCAAGTTGTTAGCATTGACATTTTTTGTTGCTTGCGCTGTCGCTTACCGGCTTTGGTGCTCTGCTCGCGCGGTGCGCTTTGGCCAACAACTTTATCTCTCATTATATTTTGTGTTAGACACAACTTTTCTATGTCAAATAAATTTACACTTTTCACTGCGCGCCTCTTCGCTGCTGCGCTTCAAAAGAAAGTTTGTTATTTTTTGTACATTTTTTCTGCTACCATTCGTTCTGCAGTTCATTGACTTTGGCATTGATTTATGCTGTTACAAACACACACACACACACACACACACTCACTCACTCACTGACTGACTGACTTTGGGGCTAATAAGGTTTTATCACGAGAGCTTGCCGGCTAGAATTTATTGGTTATTACTGCCATTGCCACTGCAATTGCCACCGGCAATAAAAAGTTTCTTGGCATTCGGTGGTCATTGCGGTTTGTCAGCCCAACGGGTGCAGTTTTTAATGGAATTGGGTCACACTCGTCGCGCCGGCTTTTTCAAAACCATTTTTATGACAGCTAATAGGTTTTTTCATTTTTTATTTGGGAGCCAAGCCGAAAGGTTGGTCTGGAGAGCCATAAAAATGCTAACACTTTTTTTCGCATATTTTTTGCAGTTCCTTTATTAGCCGTAGCTTCATTAGCTTCATTAGCTTAATTGCTTGCATGGACTTACAAATTCATTAGCTTGTATATTAAAACTATTAAGCTTTCAGCTTCATACGGAAATGTGTGGAAATGAGCTCTTAAAGGGAAAAAGTTAATCAAATAAAATTTGAAATTAATCGATTTCTGAAATATCAGAAAAAGCTAGATACAATTCATAAGAAAATCAACTATATGATTTCAGTTTAATTTTTTATTAACTTTAGATATACTAATTGAAATGTGTAACTTAGTGTTATTTGAGACTGCTCGTTGCCCTTTATGCCTTAACCTTAACTTCTTAGCTTTTGAAAAACTGTCCACTCAAGCAAACTAATTTTCTTGAAATATTGTAAATTGCTCCAATCTTTCATCAATCTAACAGTGCTTCTATCTCGCTTTTCATTAAATTCCAACCATCTGTATTTTCATGAAAAAAGATATTAAAGATATTTTTTTATTATTATTCTATTATAATAGTTAAATGAATATGACATCATTGATAAATACATTAAATCCAAATTACCTTTTCGTAAGTCAAAAGAAAAGAATTGTATAATAGTTACGCAATAATAATGCGTTCTTAAGTTATTCGACAATTCTGTTCTATTAAACAATAAGTATTTATAAAAACAACTTATTGGCAACTCATAATAAAATGACAATCCCTGGAAAATATCAACACCTCCGTTATCTGATACTATGTGTGAGCAGCGATAGAGTTTCCCATTTCCTACTACATTCTAGCTCCTTAAAATCTGGCGACAAAATAATAAGAAATATAGCTTTTATTTTGGAAAGACATCTGAAATTAAATTAATAGATTTATCAATTACTTTATTTGGAATTAGTTCAGTGCTAACCTACTAGTTGGGCATTTGCTGAACTAGGAAATTAGTACCGGTATTAATAAGGTTTCTCAATTGCCTTGGAACTTAAGGTGCTCGTCAACTAAATGTATTGCCCTTTACATTTACTTCACACAACAATGAGAAACCAAATATTTTGTATACAAGACTGAATCACAGCACAGAATTCATAAAAAGTCTCTCGACTGAGTCCAACCTTGATGGGCATTACGTTGACATAATTCACGCGCCCGCAATTAGATCGGCATTATCAATATCATCAGTTCGCAGTGCACGTACCGTATTGTTACACAATTTCTTGTATAAAACGAAAACTGATCACAGCATTTGCATTTAAAGTCCATAATGTAGCACAACAAATAAATTCACACAGTTTTGTGAATTACAGCCTGACTTACAAAAAAGAGTAGCACGGTGGCTCAGAATCGTTTCGAAGTTTTAAAATAATTACGTGAATTCAAGGGAATTACTGTTTGAATTCAAATTTTTGTTCGTAACAAGATTTCAGTGGGAATCAGGTTAATAGGAATCAGGAACGTAAAGGCAACGTTTGGATTTGATATTAATTTGGCAGTAATCGCTGTTTTCAATAGCTCGACAAAAAGGCCCTAGTTTGAATCGTTTTCTGGAAATTCTTTAGAGTATTAAATGGCATGCAAGAAAAGGAGAAAGGAAGCATAATTAAATTATTATTAAATGGGAATAAAAAGACAATGCTATTATAATATAAGTTTACCTTTAAACTTTTCGGCTCTCTTCTTGAGCCTCTCTGAGGTGCCCCGAAAAAAAGTAAAGTAAATGGTAATTATTTCATAATATCATTATGGGGCTGCCTTCTACTGAACTTTCTGGCAGACAGAACTCCATTTCGGTATTCCGGCTGCTCTATTGATGAGAAGTTGGCTGACGGACCCAATAAGGGATCCTTCAACACCTATTTCTGTTGAAGGAGAACACTATGTCTCTGACCACTATCAGGAAATGCTCCTTGATGTCGATTACGAATCCGCTTTTATTTTTAACACTGGAGAGGGGCAGGACCTGCGCTTATAACTATAAGGCGTGCTGGGCTTCTCTAAAAATCTATCTAGAGTCTTAAGTAAAAACGAAGACAGGCTGACAGGCCTTAAGTCTTTTGGTGATGAGTAACAGTTGTTTTTCAAACGTTTTTTAAGTAATTGTCCTTTAAAATTTCCAATTAATATAATGCAAGTATTTTAGTGCAGTCCCTATGTAGGAATTAAAATAACTAATAATCGTTGTTTGTGTATTAAAATACTGAAAAACTAATGCATTTTCCAATTTTGGCCAATAAATTTGGCTGCTAAACCACTATGCACAGGTAACCAAGGGTACGAGAAATCTGAAATAAAAACCAAGGGAGCTAATAAATAGTTACCACATATGCACGAAGGTGGGGTCAGCGCTAAATCATGCTAACGACTAAAAAAAAAAACTGTGAATGAAGAAGCAGAAAAGAAGACGTCAAACAAATCACAGGCGAAAATTGACTAAACAAATACATACCTATATATATAATTCATATAGACGAATAAGCTAAGGCCATCAAAACTGAAGAAAATAAAAAAGAAACGATTAACAAGAGAGGCGCACAAGAAATTGCAAAATAGAAGTGTAAAAAAATTATTCAGCCATGAGTTGAAGGTGTGCTCTCCCCTAGGGGGTGAGTGGCATTATTTACTTGCATATGCATGTCCATACATACGAGTACATACGAATACGAATATATGTGAATATGTTAGTTTGTCTGCCCAACGTAACGTAACGTTCGTAATTTATGCGATTTACGTGATTTTTGTGAGCAAACGCGAGCAATTCCTGTTATGCATGCGACTCATTGGCCTGGCCAAGCCAAAACCCAAAACCCAAAACATTGTCAGCAGCTCCAGTTCCAGCACTAGCGCATTGTCAACGATTTGTCAAGCACGAAGAAAAATATACGATAAGCTAAGAAATAAAGAGAGAAAGAGCATAAATGTGGCTTATGCAAAGTCATGGGCTGTCGTTCAAATGCGTTCAATGGCTGCAAAATAAAAACACAAAATGGTCTGCGTTCATTTCGTGTTTTATCTTTGTCGACGCGTGTCTGTCTCTGCAATGTAACAAACTATTCAACAATTTCTGCACGTTGCCAATTGCATAATCGCCAAAGACAGTGAGGGCGCGAGAGGTGAGTGTGGGGGACGCCAGTTGGTTGTTAAGACAAAGTGGCCTTTTATAGCAATGGCCAGCAACAATAACAAATTGAAATTGTCAACGGCACACAATAATCAACATGCAATTAGGCTAACCTGTCGTAGTAGTTTGAATTCCTCTAAGCCCCCCTCCCTTCCCGGGGTGGTCCACCATGAGTGACTTTGAAATATGGGTTAGCAGTTGTTGTCTAGCCTGTCCACTATTTTGCCCGTCTTCGGCAACCTGGTCGCGTACGAGGGGCACGGCTGCCCAGCATTTAACGTGTCTAACCAAGCACCAAGCCGCTGCCTTTGTCGCACAAAGAAAGCCCTGGCTTTGTGCGCCGGCAACAATAAGGAAATGGGCTTTGTTGTGCTGCACTCGCTTCTCTCTTCACTCTTTGTGCAAAGCCTTTTATTTTTTTTTTTTTTTGTTTTGTGTTCGTTTTGGCACAAAAAAGGTTGATTTAATTTGAATTTAAAGATTTCCGCATTTTTTTTTGGAATGCTCAAGTTTTGGGGGAATTTCGGAATTGGATCGATTACGTAGCACCGTAATAGTTGGCAAAAAGACTAAAGACTCAGCTTAAATACATATATAGATGGGGTGCCTTGATAAGCCGATTTTAGGTCGGTCTTAGATTTTATTTCATCTGTGTTAAATAGTAACTTATGCGAGAATTTCAGTGCCGCCGTTTTTTAACCTTAAATAGTTCATCTAATGCTTAAGACAAACAGTAAGTAGATAATTTTGGTAATATTTAGATATTTACTTACGTTTTAGCGAGTGCACCATAGCAATGATTTTTATAGCCTGTACCCAAAGGGTGAAAGGCTATACTAGTTTTGTGCGCATGTATGTAACACACAGAAGGAAGCGTGGCTGACCCCTCAAATGATAGGTCAATTCTGAAGAAAGTTATAGCCATAAGTAAAATCGCTGCTCATGCGCTGCCTGCAGCTCTGTCGGCAGCTGCTGTTGTTGTTGCTGCTTTGGTTCAACTTTGTGCTGCATACATACACGCATATAAACACGCATAGGTACGTGATGTAAATGTATGCTGTTAAAACTGAACATAAACATGTATTCTAATTTAATTTAATTAATTCATTCATTCATTCATTTTTTTTAATAATTTAATTTTT